GATGGAACAGATTCAGTTACTTCTTCCCTCTCTGTGGGTCATTAGTTAAAAGGGGGAAGGTGGGGGAGGAGGGAGAGAAGGCCACATACTGCAGGTGTTTTATCCTTTGTAAGGAGACTGCACTGAGACAAATGATTCTAGCTGGCATTTTGTACACACCGGAGATTGCTTATCGATCCAGATCAGAATATTCAGGCTGGCCCCGGGGAAAAGGCAGAGTATTTTCTGAGGGAGTTAATAACCTGGCAGCTGAGCTGTCTTGTCCAATTCACTGAACCTAGGGCTCTAATCAGGCCAGAGTTTTTATTTTGAGAAATCTTGCCATATGTGTCTGCTATCTGCCTTCCACTCTATTGGAACAGTGACAGTGATTGAAATGACAGCCTATAGATAGAGCCTAATCAAATTGTTTATTATCAGCCTAAATCAATATGTATAGATTGTAGAAACATCACTGTCATGCCATGAAAAAGTCATACTAATACTACATGCTGCAGGTGTAATTCTAAAATGTATTTTTCCATCCTAAATTACGTCTGAATTTAACAGAGTAAAAGAAATTAGAATGGTGTATGAGACAGTGAAAAATACGCAGGTTGAAACATTTCAATAACATTAAGGATTAATGTTAAAATGCCATGTTGTTCAGTGCTTAAATATGTTATCATGTTTTCAGAGAAGAATGGAGCTGTGGGAAAGGAAGAATTGAAAAGTAGTTTTGCCTTTTGCATAGCAAGGGAAAAATCTCACAGTGATCTGTGTAAGCACATACTGCAGTATGAATCAAATTCCAGCACTCCTAAAAAGTGAATTTTGAGGCATTCAGACTACAGAGGTGAAAACACAGTAGTGTGAATTCTTTTGGTACCACACAAATATTACTCCCAAGAGCCTTCCAAAGAGCTTGGACCATGAAGTCTAATGATTTGATAAGAAGCTGATTTCGTAAAACCCTCACTTCTGAAGACTGTTGGATTCCCTTTTTGCACAGAAAATATGTCAGTGCATCATATGGAAAGAACAAAAAGTATTTAATTGTATATCATAAACCAGATTCTACAGGCTTTATTATCATCTCAAACAGAATCATCCAAACACAAAAATGAGTCAAAGGAGGAATATTCCTGAGGGTGTGGCACTGCATGGAAATCTCTCACATTTGGGAAGGACCAGTAATCTCTTTGGCCAGTGAAGCTCACGTGAATGTACAAATCTGAAATTCTGCTCCAGTGGAATTGACTGAAATGGAGAATCCTCGGAGGGCCTGTGGCCCAGCAAGAGTCAGCTGTGCAGTTCAACACTTTTGAAGCTGCTCTACTGGCAGAATTTGTACTACCCAACATGTCCTGGGGAATAATTTATTGCTTTTATCCTCAAAAAATAAATTTCAAAACTATTTTAAAGCACTCTGGCAAGGCAAAGAAGCCATAGCCTTAGAGCAAATGATATGTTTTCCCTGAAGAATGGCGTGAAATAACCTTCTGGTTAATTAATCTTTGCCGTACGAAGATTAATTCAAGCTCTTGTTTGAGTATTATTACATTGTGTGATTATTGGGTTGAGTCAAACATATACCAACTTTTAGCATTACAGCATACATGTTAATAAAAATAATATAACACTGTAGGTTGATTTAATTTAAAGAGGTGTTTTTTTCCTTGGATAAACGTACTTTTCTTACTGTGAGCATGTAAAGCTCTCCAACCAGCAATTATCTTTGGCTGAATGAATCTAGGAATTTTCCTATTACATTCAAAATTAGAATTTCATGATTGCCATTTCAAAAAATAGAGGTACTTATTCAGCAGAAAATGTTACTGTGTAAGTCTAAGTACATGCTTAAGTCGCTCCTGAGTCAGGAAAGAAGTTAAGCAGATGCATATCCTTAAGTTTTAAATTACTTCAGTGGGACTTTGTCTTGTCTTTAATTTTGAACGTGCTTGAAGTGTACTAATGGCTAAGCATAGTATATGAATACAGGTGGTTCAGTTTGGCCCATGGCTGGCACAAAACCAAAATTTAACATTACTTTTAAAGTGTTTTGACTAAAATCCAGCAAAGTACTTATGTCTACACACAGTGCTGATTTAACTATTTCAGTTTATAGTTACACTGGTGCAATTTCCTAGCATGGATATGGTTCTGCTGGTATTTGTCTTGGCATAATTTAGCAAGACACTTTCACAGAACTGAATGGCTCTGAAAGTCAAGAAGGCTGTGGCAGAGCTGCAGGAGGGAACACCAAACCCGAGTGAGCTGAAAACACAGCACTGAGGGGACATGAGAATGGGAGAAATTTGCCTGTTGAAAAGGTCATCTTCAAAACCTTCCACAAATTCATGGTGGCACTTCCCAGCACACTTCTGCCAGCGTGGCTGCTCACATGTGAGTTCATTTCCCAGAGCAGCCCCTTCCAGAAGCTGTGGCTGAAATGCCTGCATTATACCTTGCACACTGCAAGATCCATTCAGCTGGGGGTGCTCCAAGTGTTGGTGGAAAGAAGGAAACTGCTTTAGGTTCTGTATGGCATGCACTGAATTCCCTGTTACAGCCTTCTGATGCTGCTGAGAATACATTTTTATCATTATTTTGCTTTTTGTTAAAACTTATTCAGCCAAATGACTCAAGATAAAGTACTGGTTTTTTTTCCTTTCCAGAGGATTTTCAAGGAAGAGTTTGACCAGAGAGAAGGGTGACAAAAATGAAGAAATATGACCTTATTATGTATTATTTACAATGCAGAATAGTGATCTACACTGTCACCATTGTCCAGCTTTCCAATACTTGTGTTTTCAGTTATGGATACCATCTATTAATAGAAAATATACCTAATAACTTAAATTTTACATTGGGAAAGGTCTGTTTCTAAGATCTTCCTATGAAACTAGTGAAATTCTTATTTATACCCCACTTAGTGCTTTAGATAGGCCGTTTCTCTAAATCCGTTCATTTTCTTTTTGGTTATTGCTGTTATGGGTTGATTTGCTTTGTCTTTGTACTAAATGGGATGTAAAACTAAGTGCTGCTGATACAATTTCCTTGGGTTTATTTGTTGCTTTTTTCCACCTTGCTTTTTTAGACAGCAGATGTATTAAGAAAAGATGCACAGCATACTAAATTCTTATCTCATTCAAAGAACATAGTGCTTCCAAATGAAATAGTTCAAGATGCAAGAATGACAGTATTAAAGTCACAAGAGCAAACCTTAACCTGTCCCTTTCCTCACAAACATTTCAACTGTCAGAATGTTGCCATCTTTCATTAAATGGACGTATCAAATGAGTGAACATTAGCCTGTAAACACTTATCCTCTGTGTGCATTTGGAATATAAATAAAAATTTTAAAGTAGTCCACTTAGTAATTTTAGTCATCACTACTACACTTTAAGTTATTCCTCTAATTTTATCTACAATATAATAGTGACAAAATTAAGAAGTTTTGCCTCTAGCAATTCACTTTCAGTTTTCATACCATAAAGAATTTAACTGTTTCCCCTTTTCTCTTATGAACCATATAGGCATTGACTCTAAGATTAAGCAGATTTCCTTACTACCAGCAAATGAAGCCCTATTTGTTTATTTTCAGTTGCATTGATGTTACTAAATCCAGTAGCATCACAGCACAGTCTGACTTGAACTCAGGCTCAGAAACTTTGCAACCTAAACATCAAAACTAAAAAACTACTATTCAAGTAGGATGGGAAGATATGGTATGATATAGCCTCATGTCCCACAGAACCTCTGCACACAGTACTGCTTCACTTCAGATGCACAAATAACTGATGCACTGCACAAACCAGGCCTGCAAACATGGTGTGCCTTCAGAACTGCACTTCAAACCTCATTATATTTAATAGTTCTGGACCAAAATGCCAAGTACTTCAAAAAAATTCTGGCCAAGTTTACATACTTGAAAAAAAAAATACTACTGAAATGCGGGAACATGGGAAAGTGCAACATTAGAAAGTTCTAAATCTGAGGGGGGAAAGGGAAAGGGAAAGGGAAAGGGAAAGGGAAAGGGAAAGGGAAAGGGAAAGGGAAAGGGAAAGGGAAAGGGAAAGGGAAAGGGAAAGGGAAAGGGAAAGGGAAAGGGAAAGGGAAAGGGAAAGGGAAAGGATTTCTGAAATACTTTGTGAAGTTTACCTGATAAACAGTAAGGAGAAATCCAGGTATTTTGTCTACACACAGAAAATTGTCTAAATTGCCTGGAAAAACTCATTGACCCATTCAGATTGTGTGAAGCTTTTGATCACATACAGCCCCAGGCTCTCCTGCATCTTGCTTGGAGCACATAGCTCAGTGAAAAAAACCCAGTATTTTATTGTGATAAACACTACAATAGTATAATGTTTGCACTGGCATGTGTGGGTTCCTCTTTAGGTGGCTTGGAAACATTATATTCAGGGGGTTTTAGGTGTAAATTTACAAGCACCACATGCAAAGAATTTTAAGGTTTCATTGTTCAATTATTTTAAGTAGAACAATGAAAACATCAATGCTACAACAATACAAATTAATCAAACAACAAGAAGTAAGGCAATTAAAGCTGAGCACTTCTGCAATGCATAGTCAAGAGCCTGAGTAATTAGGTGTAACTGTAGAAAGACTCTTAAATGTCCTTTTCTGTATATCTATGAAAACCATTTCACTGAGAAATCAAGTAAATTGTTTTTGTGGATGACTCTGGACAGCTACAAAAAATGGAGGAAAGATGGTTCTGTAATTTAGAGCATGGGATGGGACAGGGAAGTCTCTTGAATCTTAGGACTTCCTAAGTAGCTCGAGACAATGACTTCCCACCTGTACAAAAGTGTAACAATCCTTCTATGTGCTTATCTGGGCTAGGAGGACATGTATGTTAAGAATTCTCAGACAGAGCATAGAAATGAAGAACAGTATCGCTCCAAGTATTCAACTACAGAACTCACCCTAACACCAGTGTTCCACAGAGCATTCATTCTATCAGAGTTTTATAGCCAGGAGTTACACAGGATCCTTACCTGAATGCATGTGGTTTTGACTGTAACTCTCTCTTAAAGGTGTCATTGTGTGGAGAAAGATCAGCATCATTTATCCTTTTGTTACTCTGAAACTGCCATCGAGCCTGTGAAATGGGGAGCAAGCCACATAATTAGAAAATTATCCACTGCCCACTTGCTATTATCCTATGGCTTTTCTAAAAAGAACAAAAGGTGTGCCACACTGACAGCACTTCACAGGCAATACAAGAAGCTCTCAAGAGTTTCCAGCAATCTTCCACATAGATAACAAACAGGAGATAGTTCATAATATGGTAGGTAAAGATAATGACTTTAAGGAACACATAAGTGTACAGCCCCAGCAGTGACAATCACAGTAAAACTGTTGTTTCTCAGGCTGAAGGTTCCAATCCCATAAACTAGGGCTTCAATTTTCATAGGAAGTTGTATTTCTGTAACAAGCATATTAACACAAGAGGACTTTTGCCTCCAGGCTCCCATTGTTAGATTATTCTTTATATTAGATTGTCACAGAAAGACTTTTTTTTTTTTTTTTAACAAAGTAAAAGATCTAAAAAAAAAAATCTGATTATCAGCAGAAATGATAGTTAGGAATACAAAATAAAGTCCACAGGATAACATTTGGGGAAAAAGGCATCAACATTTTGTAAAAAAATCTTGAACGGGAAAAGCGGATGCTTTATATGAAAGCTGAACAGGGCTCACAGTTAATGGATCTTTTCTGCTTGGAATACTCAGGTCATTGATATTAAGTATTGCTTCTGTGCCTCTGAAGAATGTCAGCGTTACACAGGTGCCAGTGCACCTCACTGAGAATGGAGAGGTGACTCTGGTGGCTTTGTCCTTCACTCAGCAGAGTCACCAAGGCCCAGGTGCTCTGCAGAGCTGCTCCCGAGGAGGCAGCGCAGCCCCCAGAGCCATTCAGGCAGCACTGGAAGGTGCATCCTTTGCAGTCCCTGTCATAGAGCATGAGGTAGTGCTGGGACTGATGCCCCATTTTCTGAAAATGCTGTCAGAAAATTAAGGTATTGTTTCCATCTCAAACACAATTCAAGAATTAGACAACGGACCTGATACTGCTGTCAAAAAAAATTTGGCCAAAGGTTAGGAAAATTTCTGGTGAGAACAATGTAAAGGGAACTTAAAATAGATGTCTGCAAGTGAGAAGAAAAAATTCTATTCTTACTCCACAATTATGTGTAGAAGCTAATTCTCTATGAACTATGACAATCTTGTAATGCATTCACCCATATTTTTTGTAGTTGCATCACTAAAATATTCACTGTATCTACAGATGGCTGCAAACATTGTATCAGAGACCCAACAAATTATTCACCCACTTCTAACAGGCCAGCAAAAAGCACAGGTTTAAGAAGTTGAATGACTCAATAATAACTATCTGCTGTTAGATTTACTTCACCATCCTCTTTTTGCTTACAGTTACATAAGGTTTACCTTGATAAAGTAAATTAAAGGGTTACCTGCTTTCTGCTAGCACTGTCAAATGTTTCAGAAGGTACCCAAACCCCAGGAGTTTTACAAAGCCATGGCAGTTAACACATTCCCCAGTACAGTGCTTTCCTTTACACACCAGGGCATAATGGCTCAGCTGTAGAACTTGAATTTGGACTGAAGAATTTTACTTTCCAGCCTTTTTTTCATCTTCCCTGTGGATGTCAGGCTTCTTGTCCTGCCAGGCCACATTCTACATCTAAAACAAATGTGGGAAATGTGTGTAGTGTTCAAATTCTATGCTCCCAGTCTGAAAACCACTTGGTTACAGAGCATAAGATATTTTCTTGATGCTCAGGTACTGATAGTGAAGTTCTGTTCTTGGATTTCTCTCCCGGGCTGCTGTCTGATGTAGTCACTTGCAATGTGCCTGCAGTCCTAGCAGATTTCTTACTGGAAGTCAAATTTCACAAATTCCAAATCTTTCTGAACCTTTACCTTTTTTATATTTGCTAATCAAATAGGGAGGACTATTATAGAGTATGTGTCCCATGCCACAATGAGAAAATTCATTTCAGTCTGTCCTTACAGGTATTTAACTACTATGGAGGAGAATAACATCAAAGGTCACTGGGAATTGTATGATTCTGAAAGGAAAATTTGAAAAAACTTACTAAAAAAAAAAAAAAAATTCCATCTAGCATTAACACATTCAAGGAGGACAATAATGCACATTCTTAACCAAACTCCAATATAGGATCACTTTCCAGTATATTCCATGCACACATTCACATCATGTTTCTTAAAAATAAACAAGTGAAAAGTAAAAAATGCAACGGCCAAAGGAAGGTTATTTATGTTCAAACTGTACCAGAGAAATTAGTCAAGGGCAATTTATGCATGTGAAAATATGATTTCTAACACTGCGAAGGTCAATAAGACCTTAGGGAATAAATGCTGACCACATAAATCAAAGATGCAGTTTCGAGGAAGTTTTGAAGACAGAGTGGAGAGGCTTTAATAGTTTTAAAAAGCTTGTTAATAGTCCAAATGAATCAGCAATAATACAAGAGGAGCAAATAACTTATTCATGAAAGGAATAAACCATTCTTGATGTCCTTCTGTGGATTGGATTGTCCAAGCCCAGAATTATAAAATTCTCTCTCACATTTCAGAAGAAATCTGATTATTTCTTAAAACTCAAAAATATAAAAAGATACACCAATCTAAATCAATCCAACCTGCCATACTAGTTTGCTTGCAAAAATATTTTAAGAAAAAGATAACTTCAGTGATCAAAATACTTTATAGGAACATTTCCTATTTTACCAAGATGTCTAAAGAGAAATGCATTTTATTTGAAAATGCATACTGGATAGCAATATTTTTTTTTTGCTGGTTTTTTAGGTTTTTAAACAATTTCCCCATGGTAGGTGAATAAAAAGCAAAAAGATTTTCTTCCTGCTAATACAGAAAATTGACAGTTTTTCATTTTAAGCGCAGCCACTGAACTAAAGAGTATTTCTGCCTGGCTGGCTCCCCACACTCCTTTGGTTGCCACTGTAATATCTAAAAATCTCCTGTTTCAGGTTACCTTTCCAAAACATTGTGTAAGTAAGAGCATACCCATTTCCCACACAGCTCAGATATCTGGGATACATATCTAGTGTGATATATGAAGATATCTGAAATCAAAGAGAACCTTAAAACAATCTCTTAAAGGAACTCAGTTTGCACTATTAAAAATAGCTTGAATTACTAACAGGAGGAGTTTGTGTCTGAGTCAGTCCCTTCTAAGCCTTAAACAAAGATGAATTCAGAATAGAGCTGGCAATTAGAACTCACTGTGTATTTATTCATTCACATTAACAATTAATAGAAGGTTTTTTAATGTTCCTGTATTGTACACAGTACTATATTTTAGAAAATACAACCCATGACAGCATCCTGATTTTACTACTAAAGATATTTAAGCCATTTTTCATGTTGCTTCTGTGTAGGTAAACTTAAATTTCCACAACCCCATTCAGCACAAACTTTGTGCTGAAGTCTCATTCTCCTTTTAACAATTGCACAGCTGTTCCAAACTATTACTCTTCTCTTCTTGGGCACTGCTGTTTAATAGCTCTGCTACCTTGATATCAGGAAAAAAAAAAGGTTGACTAGACAGCAGATTCCTCTGATTAAGGGATAAGAGAATTAATCTGGCATATACAAAACTTCAGCATGAGCAAGCAGCACAAGTCAGAATAGTGAGAGCACAAGGATGCTGGGGAGGCAAATGAAAGCAGATACTTATGGATCAGTTGAACACAGGCAGAAGAACGTAAAGTCTTGCAGACAATTAAAATTTGCTGTCAGAGGGTGCAGGAGGAAAATAAAGGTGGCAAAGAGGTAAGCCATCAGCCAAACTGCTGCATTCTACTTCACACAGTTATGGCTCCTGGCAGAAACTGGGTAGATGGCTGTGGAGTGTGTATATCTGAAAAGCAGAAGAACAAGTCTCACTGCTAATGTTGATGTCAGAGACATTTGTGTTTCTGCATAAATCCTTTAGCCTTTTACATTTCTGTGTTTTCATTCATTTTCCCTATTTCTTCATAACTCATTCTGGAGTCAAGAGTCTGGAGAATTTATTTTAAATCTCCAGAGTGAAAGAATATTTGATTTCACATAAGCATAATTTAATCAGCAAGGGTGGCAGTGATGAAAAACCAAGTGCCACAGCTACCTAGGGCTTTTTCCTACATAGGTGTGCACTGATTCCTATTCATAGAAGACAATTGAATAGAACTTAATAAAGAGGAAGATTTCAGAGTCTTCTCACTCTGGAGACGGTAAGAGTTTGAATGACTGCATGAAAAATTACTGTTTGAAAAACTGCATGGAAAATACAGATAGAAGATAGAGTAAGACCCCCATGACACTTACTACAGTCACTGGTATCCTGGTAAACACCTCTCTGAGGAACATATGGAACACAGTCACAGCTGTCCAAAAATTCTTGAGGTGCTTGAGACTAGACCAGAAACAACCGTGGTTGTTTCCTCACATAAAATTTCTACCTTCCTCTTTTCCTCTCTGCAGAGAAGGAAAAGAAGCTAAAACATGAGTCCTCTTCCTTGAGATGAGTTGGTAAAGATCAAAAAGTATTTGCACAAAGTTTCCAGTGAAATTTTGCCAGAGGACAAAGGGCTGTATGGGCCAAGAAAAACCAGAAGCTCTACAAGTGTAGGAGGACTGTGTTTGTTGGCTGAGTTTGAGAATAAATTGAAGTCAAACTAAAGAGCTAACAGAGCTGTTTCTCAACTTTTATTTTATTTTTTTTTAATCCCAGCACAGCATGCAAATAATTTGTTATGGGCTTGAACTGGAGAAGCCAAGTATATAGCATTGTGAAACTGAAATCCAAAAATAAAATATTTCAAGTTAGGAGACCTGTAGATGGCAAGCCAAAACACTCTTTGTATTCAATTTTCTGGCTTGGTCACAAGCACTCTTGCTTCCTGATATATTTAACTAAAATATGCAGGTATTGCCTCACATGCACCTCCTTTGGCTTTTTCCAATGCCTTCAAGCATGTGCACAATGTTTTAGAACACCACCAGACTTTAGTACCAGCAATATCAGTTTCTGAGGGTTTTTTTGTTT